CTGTTTAAGCCTATTCATGGGACAAGGATGTTCCCGGGCAGGGTGGAGAGTGAGCTGTGTTGCCCCAGTTTGCAGCCCATCTGCTTTTGCTGCTGTTTGGAGGAAGCAAGAGGAACGCTGAAAGTCACGAGCAGCAGCGTGGGAAACCTTATCCAGACATTTTTTTTAATGGCTTTAACTTAATTAAGTGGCTCAAGTGGGAAGTTATCGCACGGGAGGAGAAGAGGCAGCCGCTGCTGCGTGAGAACAAGCGAGGGGAGTCACAGTGGGATGGGTGCACCCAGGGGTGACCTGGGGGCTCCCAGGGGTGTTTTGGCTCTCAGCACACCCCGATGTTCCACCAGCCCTATATCCTCACCAGGCAAACACTGCTAAACCCTCAGGGCTCGGTTGCCCCAGAGATGGGACCAGAAAAGCCCATCCCTGCCCAGGGACGTGCACGGGGACGGCACAGCCGAGCAGCCACCGCGGGGCACGCGTGGGGCTGCGGACCCACAGCAAGGGGGGCACCGAGGGATGCACCGAGTGCTCACTTTTCGGGCAAGGGTACAGCCGAGGCTGAGTGAGAGAAAACATCCTCATTACTGCCTCGGATCCTTAACATTTAATGTAGCTTCCCCGCTCCCGCAGGGCTCCCGCCCGGGTAAGATCACTCCTGTTTACATTAATCAAATGCCAAATACAGTTTCCCCGCACCTCGAACAGGAGACGTCTGTGGGATCGCCGGCACCGGCATGCCGCACTAACTCCAGATGAATATTGACTTTTTAATGACAAGCGCTCTAGTACAAATACCAACCGGTGCTATGCGGGCCCGGGCAGACAGCTGAAGGGGGCCGGCACGCCTGTTATTCAGCAAATGAATTATTTGATTCCCGTTCCCTGCAGCATGCTGTCTGCTAGGAAATTTTCATTTGGTCTCTCTAACTTGAGAACCAATTGTAAATGTCAGTGCTAAATGCTCAGATTTAAGTGTTCGGTTGTCTTGTTTGATTATGGCACTAAAAGGTCAGAGCCGACTAATGGAAAGTACAAGCGGTATCGGGAGGGAAACAGTGTTCTGTCGTGGGTGAGCAAACACCTGGGGACAACCTAATCACTCTTCCCGCAGCATCTCTCTCTTCCCTCTCCGGCTCCTTCATTCAGGGCTGTTTTCCAGGTCTCGTGACCGGGAAAAGCCATTTCTGGGGAAAATTCCCGCTTGAGACGTTGCTGCCGGGGATGCTGACAGCGCCGGGCTTCCCCACGGAGCAAACGGAGAGCTCACCTCGCCGTGTCCCGGATGGATTTGCTCCCCAAGGGCAAGGGATGGCACGAGAGCCGGGCTGCTGCCAGCCCCACTGCCGTCACCTACTTCTCTCCCTGCGTGGCTTGGGCCAGCATCAAAGTGTCTTGGGTGCCAACGTCCCTGCGCCTCCATTTCCATCCCCACTTTGGCCTCCTCTGGCAACCAGCACCCCAGGAGCTCCACATAGAGAGCAAAATTGGGCTTTTTTTTTTCCTCCTCCTTTCCCATTTGCCATCCATTTCCCTGACGCTCGCAGCACCTTTAAAATCCCCTTTCCCTCAGCTCTTTCAATCACGGTGGTCAAATAAAACTACAGTTGCCTCGAAGTCACTCAGCTGAGGAAATCTGCTTTTTACCTGCGCCCATTACCACCATTCCAGTTCTATAAGCCGAGTTCATTATATTTATTTTAAAGCCGCTTTCAAAAATATTAGTCCTTCTGCATTAAAAGTGCCTGAACGAATAAAAGCCCGATGGGCTGGTATTCCTCCAGGGGAATAGCGTGGTGTGGTCCCAAGCAGGAGCGCTCATCACTCCATACAGATGCCGTCCTGCACCGGGAACCGGTCCCCGCTGCCAACCCCGAAACCTTCCCCGGGCAGAGAAATTCAGTGCCGATTCTGGATGTCTGAACGTTTCTGGACATTTACATCAATGAGAATCGGGAATTTTAGGAAAACCAGGAGGTTTAGGAAATAATTGCAACGTTTTTTTCCCCAAGACTTTGGCGTCTCTGGTGAGCGCTGGCCTTGATCCTTTGGCACCAGCCTGGAAAATAATCACTGTCCCCGGGATGCTCATGCCTCCTCTCTGGGCACCTTCCTGGGAATCAAAGGTGCTGCTGGACTTAGGGAGAGATCTCCAGCTGCCACGGGCTCCTCTCGGGGAGGCAGTTTCTATCCTCTGTTTCTGGGTGGTTTAATGTTACAAGGTCCCACATTACTTGGCGAAATAAGAGGCAGTTTTCTTATTCACAGGCCCTTTTGCCAAGAGCGTCATCGGGGAAAGGGTCCCCTTAAGCAGAGGATGGTGCCAGAAGGGTGAAGCGGCTGAGAAACCACCATAAAATACCTGGGGAGAGGGGGAAATCCCCACCCCATCACCAATATCAAATGCAAAGAAATCAAAGAAAAGAAATGTCCATCTCTGAACTGAGCCGTTTCTTCCATAGCCCGGGCAGGGAGTGGGACGGTCTGCCTGAGCTGCGCTGGTGAAGCCAAGGCAGTTTGTGGTCTATAAGATGAATAGGAAATCTGCTCTGGATTGGGAGTGATTCCCTCTTTTATTGGAATGAACCCCAAAGAGTAATGGCTGTAGGGCAGGAAGAGGAAGGTAAATTGCAGTAATAATATGTTCCTTTGTGCAGACATGCTTTTGATCATAGGAAAATACACCATCTGTTTCTAAATTACTTGTTGTATTGATTTAACAGTTAGTAACGTGGGGGTTTTTTTTTTCTTTTTTTTCTTTTGCAAATCCATTTTGCAAGGTCTCCTGGAAATCTGACAGTTATGTGCAATAAAAAGTAGGGGCTTGTTCATCATAAAAGAT